AAACATGTGTGTAATTTGGAAGCTGATGCCGTTCTCCTCTGCCATCAACGCCCCTCCGATACTGGCCACGGCATTTACAATAATTGGAAGCGTCTGTTGTTGGCAGTTTACTCATTATACTGATCCGGCTGCTTATATAATGTAGGTCTAGGTACCTATATAATCACGGTTCAGTCACTATGTGCTCGTTCTAACTGGAAGATCCCCTACGAGACAGCCGCGACAGGGGGTGTTTGGAAGTGGGTGGCACCTAGGCTGGTCGGTCATAGGGCCATTCACCCATGCAACCTCCCAAATAGCTCCCCTAGGTGGCCAGTTTGGTACTAGACCCAGCCCCTAAGGTACCCACTCATGCCGATCCACTCTTTTTTTCAAGCGTCTTGCTCGACATTGTGCCTGGTCCAAGTTTTCCCCAGAATTGAAAGGCCGACTTCAATCTTGCAGGTACGACATCACATGCGCGTACACATAGCATCATATCTCCCTCCAACTATCACTGACCATTCGTCCCTCCTTTATGCGCATATTTCCTTCTAATTCAGACATACCCGGCATCTGGTGGATGCGCTTCGCCTCACAAAGTTCGCCCCCGACCTGTCCAGATCTGGCATTGCAACTCTAGACTTGTCACGCCAGTCCCTTATTCGGGTGCTCCCAAGTTTCTCATCCCTAATTTATACTCTCTGGTTCTTTGCCTTTCTACCAACATAGGAGCTAGCACGATATTACTCAGGCCCTCAAGCTACTGAGTCCACGCATGACGGTGTGTTTGATTTAGGGGGAAAACAGCACCAACAAACGCACTTATCAGAACAAACCATGGATTCTACCTTGGAGAAAACCGCCGCCCAAATGAGGAGCACTAAACGAAAGGCTTCAGACTCTCCTGCCCGCGTACCTCCCGCGAAACGATCGGTTAATGGCAAGCCGCCGAGCGAAGAAGATGTGGAATATGTGGAGATAGAGTTCGACGAGCAGTCGGAACTCGATGAGCACTTGCACGCTCACCCGGCCATGTATATCGGCACACCGGGCAGCTTGGGGGAGTGGCAGGATACCATTCAGAAGGTCGTGCGGAACGTGGTCGCTATTCGATTCTGCCAGACGTGTTCCTTCGATACCGACCCTGCCCTGACTAGCGAGGCGACGGGATTTGTTGTGGATGCTGAGAGAGGGTGAGTAGGACCAATCCCATCGACGCGAACGAAATGGTATGGAATAGGCGCTGACTCGCAATGCTTTTGTCTCTGCTAGATATATTATGACCAACCGACATGTTGTTGGATCAGGCCCATTCTGGGGCCACTGCGTTTTCGACAACCACGAAGAGGTCGACTGCTACCCCGTCTATCGCGACCCAGTCCACGATTTCGGTATCTTGCGGTACGATCCCAAGGCGATCAAGTACATGACCGTCGACGGCTTGGATTTGAAGCCCGAGCAGGCTCAAGGTAAGCCACATATTGCCTCCATCTTTATAGCTGGGCCTTCGACTGACCATGGTGTGTAAAGTCGGTGTCGAGATTCGCGTCGTAGGAAACGACGCTGGTGAGAAGTTGAGTATTCTCTCCGGTGTTATCAGCCGTCTGGACCGAAATGCCCCCGAATATGGAGATGGATACAGTGATTTCAATACGTGCTACTACCAAGCCAACGCAGCCGCAAGTGGTGGAAGTTCTGGAAGTCCTGTGGTGAGCAAGGATGGTTCGGCGGTGGCGCTGCAGGCAGGCGGACGATCAGATGGTGCTTCAACAGATTACTTTCTACCCTTGGATCGACCCCTGCGTGCACTACAATGTATCCAGCAGGGGAAACCTGTCACTCGAGGCGATATTCAGTGTCAGTTTCTTCTTAAACCCTTCGACGAATGCCGGAGATTGGGTCTCGCTCCCGAATGGGAGGCCGCCACCCGCAAGGAGTTCCCGCATGAGACGAACATGTTGGTCGCCGAGATCATCCTCCCTTCGGGACCTTCGGACAAGAAGATTGAGGAGGGTGATGTGCTGGTCAAGGTCAACGACGAACTTATCACCCAATTCATCCGCCTGGATGACATCCTTGATTCGAATGTGGGAAAAACAGTCAAGCTGCAGCTGCAGCGCGGTGGGGAGGATGTTGTCGTTCACATTGAAGTTGGGGATCTCCACAAGATCACCCCCGACCGCTTTGTGACCGTTGCCGGAGCCAGCTTTCACAATCTCTCTTACCAACAAGCTAGGCTTTATGCTGTTGCTGTCCAGGGTGTCTATGTCTGTGAGGCGGCAGGATCGTTCCGTTTTGAAAGCCCGGACAATGGATGGATCATTCAGTCTGTTGACCACAAGAAAGTGATCGATCTTGATTCGTTCATTGAAGTGATGAAGGGTATTCCCGATAGGTCCCGAGTTGTTGTGACTTACAAGCATTTGCGAGACCTTCACACCCTCAACACCACCATTATCTATGTTGACCGTCACTGGTCGGCAAAAATGAAGATGGCCATCCGAAACGACGAGACAGGCCTATGGGATTTCAAAGATCTTGCTGACCCCTTACCACCGATTGATCCTACTCGCCGATCTGCCTCGTTCATCGAGCTGGACCATATGCCCCACGAGGGAGTTGCAGAGTTGATTCGCAGCTTCGTTCACGTCAACTGCTCAATGCCGATTAAACTTGACGGGTTCCCTAAGAGTCGACGATGGGGCATGGGTTTAGTTATCGATGCCGAGAAGGGTCTAGTTCTCATCTCGAGGGCAATTGTTCCTTACGATCTCTGTGATATCACTGTCACGATTGCGGACTCAATCATTGTTGAGGGCAAGGTGGTTTTCCTCCACCCTCTCCAGAACTACTCCATTGTTCAGTACGATCCTGCTCTAGTTGATGCTCCTGTCAAGAGTGCTCGACTTAGCAACGAGCACCTTACTCAAGGCGCAAAGACGTACTTCCTTGGGCACAATAGAATAGGTCGAGTTGTGCACGGCTCTACCACAGTGACGGAGATCACGGCTGTAGCAATTCCAGCCAACTCCGGAGCACCGCGCTATCGTGCCGTCAATGTGGATGCTATCACCATCGACAGCAACCTCGGCTCGACGTGCAACAGTGGTGTATTGGTCGCACCGGATGGCACAGTCCAAGCCTTGTGGCTGTCCTATCTTGGTGAGAGGTCAGCCTGTAGCCAACGTGATGAAGAGTATTATCTGGGTCTAGGCACGCCTACTCTCCTGCCAGTTATTTCTGCTATCCAGAAGGGTGAGACGCCAGCTCTGAGGATCTTGTCTGTTGAGTTGAGAGCCATTCAGATGTCTCAAGCACGCGTGATGGGTGTCTCCGATGAGTGGATCAAGAATGTCACTCAAGCAAACCGCTCTCACCACCAACTGTTCATGGTTAGCAAACGAACTTTTGAGCGCGTCGAACACCCGGTTTCACTATTGGAAGGTGATATTGTGTTGACGCTGAATGGCAAGACATGTACTACTATCTCGGACTTTGATGTGATGTACTCGCACGAAGTTTTGGACGCAGTCATCGTCAGAGAGTGCAAGGAGATGAAGCTACAGCTGCCCACAGTATGCATGGACGATATCGAGACGGATCATGCGGTATCTTTCTGTGGTGCCGTTCTTCACAGACCTCACCAAGCCGTGCGTCAGCAAATCAGTCGTCTGCACAGCGAGGTCTACGTTTCAAGTCGCATTCGCGGATCGCCTGCGTACCAGTACGGTGTTGCCCCGACTAACTTCATCACGCACGTGAACGGCGAACCTACCCCTGACCTCGACTCATTCATTGCGGCCACCCGCAAGATCCCGGATAATACCTGTATGTCTCAGCAGATCCCCCCCCCTATACTCCCCGTTTACGTGCTCTATGGATATAAGCTAACAGAAGATAACAGACTTCCGCCTCAAGGCAGTCACCTTTGACTCTGTTCCATGGGTAATTACCATGAAGAAGAATGATCACTACTTTCCAACGATGGAATGGATCAAGGATAGCAACGAGGCGTGCGGATGGAGGCGTGTAACATATGAGGGGAAGGAAGTATTCGAGGGAGAGGCAACTGACGGTGTGCCAGCCCCTGCGGAGGATACTGATATGGATTAGAGGATTTACCGTGAAAACTGTTAGTTTTTGCTGTTTCCTGCGGGTCATATCTGGAATAATAGAAGCCAAACAACGGCAAAGGATGGCGGTTTCCATCTTGAGAGGGGTTTCCTCTCACTGGGCGTTTTACTAGGGATCTATGGGGTTTTCTTTCTGGCTGGTCGGCTTCTTGGTTTTTTATCGACACAATCCCTCAGGGCTACAAGATCCCTTGTCATCGTCGTCGGTTGTCAACATACACTGCATCGATAGATCCCATTTCTCAAGTGCAGGATGGGCGCACATGTTTAAAAGAAATGTATTTGTGGCAAGTCTCCTTTGAGACGAAGAGCATCATGCCGACTTCTGCTGCACGTGCTTCCAGCCTGCTTGAAACTCGCTTTATCATTGTGAAAACAGGGCTTATAAGGGTTATTAGCACTGGATGCATTCCGATCTAATATTAGAATAACAAAAAACCCAAAAAAATGGACAAGGTAAATATTTAGGCAGGTATGGTAACACAAGATCCTCCCCTACAACTTGCATATTTGAGGCTCCTTGGTGTTTTCAACCGCTTGCGTGGCCTAGATGTCGAATCGACATGTGTCAAGCGGTGTCTAGACCCTGTGGGTAATGTACCCTGTACATACGATAAATGCCCCTCGGTCGACCACGGGCTCCACACTCTCTGGAGCTTGTGCCCCGCAATGAGCTCACACCTGCCACCAGGCAGGCAGCATCATGGGTTCCTATCCCGAAGTCTTTATACTGTCGCCTTGAGGAACAACTACCCGGATTCCCTTGTCTCTTTGATAACCGATACCCGACCTTGATATATCGAAGACACACCCTCTGTCTAATATCCGAACTTCCAAGTGTGTTTCTAAGCCTACTGAGCTGGCGCCAGCTCGCTGTCCATTACCATGGCCCCAGGCATGTCCATCGTGGTATGTTGTACTGCCTATGCCTGACCCCAATATACATGTCTACGGAGCAAGTTTATGATCTGGATGAACTAACCGGGAATATGGCATAGACCAAGTTGAAAGTCCAACTGAAATTGGCGATCGCGCGCCTGCGCATGGTTCAGCAGCGCGATGAGCAGCTGGGCAAGGCGCAACGACGGGCAATGGCCCAGCTCCTCGAAGTTGGAAAGGTCGACTCTGCCACCATCCGAGTCGAGGGAATCATTCGTGCCGACATCATATCCGAGCTGCATGAGCTGCTAGAGCTTTACTGCGAGCTCCTGCTGGCGAGAGCGGGGCTGCTGGAAGGCCCGGTCTGCGACCCAGGGCTGGAAGAGGCTGTCAAGAGCATCATATATGCCGCCCCCAAGACAGAGATCAAGGAGCTGGGGGTGGTGAGGAATTTACTGGCGGAGAAGTACGGCAAGGAGTTTGTCCTGACGGCCATAGATAACCTGGATGGGAAGGTGAGCGAGAGGGTTGTGAAGAAGCTTAGCGTAGAGCCGCCGAAGCCGGAGCTTGTTCAGGGCTATTTAGAGGAGATTGCCAAGGCATACGGTGTGAACTGGCCAAGGCGCGCGGAGGAGCCTCCCGAGCTGCTTGACGACCTCGACGATGAGGACGACAACCCGTCTGGTGGGCAGGCACAGAAGGTGCTGGAGGAGCCCTTGGCAGCTGAACAGAGCACGACGGGGGTTGGGGGTGACGCCAAGGTTCAGGGAACTCCCGTGAAGCGCGCACCTGGGCCACAGAGCCCGCTGACTGTGACACCGCCGAGGATGACGACGGAGAATGTCCATCCCAAGGTGACGTTGGGCTCCGTGGAGTTGAAGCCGACCAAACGGGCAGAGGAGCCGCGGAAAAAGAACGAGCCAGACGGGTCGGTGCCAGATATTACCGATCTAGAGAGAAGGTTCGCCGCCTTGAAAAAGAGGTAGCCAGCGAGGTATTGAGAAGAATGACTGGCTTATCTCTTGATATCTTGCGCTGATAACGTATCTGCTTCTGTGTCTTCGTTGTCCTGGATTGGGGTGCCGAGGAGCTTTTTACCTGCGACGGTCTGGCTAGAGAGGAAGTTGATTTCACGGGTCACATTGCCATGTTTTAGAGCAAGATGGTCTATTTGCGAGGATCATAATGAACTTTGTTATTATACCCCGACCTAGTGCCTCGCCTGTAAGCATATATGACAAAGTCGATGCTAAAGAGATTGCTCCTAGTTCTAGAACCTCCTTTACTTTGACTGAGGTTCCCACGATATCCTTAAGTAGGTAGGTAGGTAGGTAGGTAGGTAGGTAGCTGGGATCGCAAGCACGAGCAGTACTAGGTAAGAGTACTCAGTCGTCATGTGGCCATTAAATGGAATACCTCTCATGTAGGTAGGTAGGTAGGTACTTAGGTACTTAGGTGGCCATTAAATGGGCGAGGGAAGACGCGAAAACTTTTGGAAAAGAGGCAGTCGCTGGCGGTCCTTCCTCGCGAGCGCGAACAAAAACAAACACTGTCAACAACTGCTCAGCAGCTCCTCACTTCACCTCAGCAACGGCACAAGTGCCATAGCTCAGCTTTGGACCGTCGCCTTTGTTTATCATTTCTGACATTGTTTTTAATGTCGGGAGAAGTTTTGCACATCTATTTCACTTCTTTCTGTCACCACAACACCTCGCTAGGAATCAACCCAACCTCTCGTCACCTACTTTGAACGCATTCGCCATGGATCCTGTGCGCGAAATTCTCTTTAATTGCTGTAACATGTTGGGATTTCAAGGTGTGAGAAACTTGAAAGACTTAGGCATTATGAAGCAGGCGACATTGGAGAAGAAGCTGCGCAAGAATGGCCAGAGGCTTGAGTCCAACAGCATCGCCTCAATCTACATGGCATGGATGGCTGAGCATATTGCAAAATCGCCTTCCTGGGAGGAGGGAACACCTGCTTGGAAAATGTGCATGTACCTCAAAGATTCAGGCTGCGGTGGAATCGACGCCGTGAGGATCTGGAATGACATGCTCCTACTAGCTCGCATGGGGAGCAGGTTGCAGAAGCCAGAGAGCGAGAGACTCCACGACCGAGGTCGTCTCGTTGAGAAGGTGATTATCGTGGTTCTGCTCCCGACTTCTGATCTACGAGATGTCGCCAAGGAGGTCGGAGAAGGTATGTCGGCGAAAGAACAGACGAATCCCCTTGATTCTACTTCTACCCATTCCCATCTTCAATCACCCCATTCTTATCCCACCACCCTGCTGTGTTTTCTCCATCAGCTTGCCTCCCTTGCCCTCCTATCCTCCGGCTACCAGCCAGCTTTGCTAGCTGTGTGATATGTGTATGCGTCTATCTATACACCCACCGCCCTGCTGTGTTTCCCCCATCAGCCTGCTCCCCCTTGTCCTCCTATCCTCCGGCTACCAGCCAACTTTAATAGCTGTGTGATATGTGTATACGTACATCCATCTACCCACCACAGTGCTGTGTTTCCACCATCAGCCTACCCCCCTTGTCCTCCTATCCTCCAGCTACCAGCCAGCTTTGCTAGCTGTGTGATCTGCGTATACGTCCATCCACCCACCCACCACATACCGCCATCCGCTCAGAAGCCCGCGTCTACATGATGTGCTGTTTCGCAATGGCTCACGCTTCTGGCATAGCGGCCCTGGCTCTACACCATTCGATATTACTCGACGAACCGATGGGCCTCACAAACAGACAACACCTCCTGCTAGGCCGGGACGGCAAAGCTAAGAATAACATAGCTCCAACAGGGTCTAGCAGGTCCATGGCACCTCCCCAGCACGGCGTGTGCCACGTTTGTTTTGAACCAGGTTAGTCAATCGCTCTATGGCTCGCAAGCAAAGGCTCATAGATTTCATGTGTAGATCACTGTACGGCGGACTGCCCCTTCCTATCAAAATCGAAGATAGCGGAGAGAACACCACCTGGCTATGTTTGCAAAAATTGTGGTAGCATTCGCCATTTTGACTATGCCTGCCCGAGAAACAATGTCGAGAACTTGCAAAAGTCACAGGACACAACGGCCATGAAAGAAGACCAGTCTGAGAATGCCTATTGGGCGGAGAGCGCCTATGGTGAACAACGATCGGCTCTTGAAACACGGGATTCTCCTGAACTACAGTACGGTGACCATTGTCCCGAGACCAGCAAGGATCGGTCTATCATATGGAAGGAGTCAACACCATTTGATGGGAGGCTTACACCTTGGAGCGAAGTACGTGCCAGAAAACCCGTTTGTAGTTACCTGAAGCTACTCATCTAACAACAAACCAGGACGACGTGAGCCAGGATCAGACAGTCAATAATTTGGGACGACAGGAAACTTCTGAGGACAGGATCTCACTTCAAGAAGCGGATGACTTTCTCACCGAGATGGGAAAGGAAATTCAGGAGGCCACGCTTCCTGTCTCGAATGTGGAGGGCTCGTCGCTTTCCGGGGCCCGGCATGGCCGTGCCCTAGATGGCAGCCCTCCCCGCAAGATGCAGAAACGGCAGCATCCCGTGGATGAGATGTCGATGTGCGATGAGGCCAAATCGTCGGTCGAGGTTCACCGCACCCCTAAGTCACTTGACCGAGATCCTCCTCATCATGATGGTGTGATCAGCTTGTTTCACCATCGGGAAAATGTCTTGGTCAACAGAGTACGACGTTCAAGTGCAGCTGATATGTGGCCTGAATCAACAGAGAGAGTGGACGGACAGGAGTAGAGAGATGGAGCAGTCTTTGACCAAGAAGACAGGAAGTTGCGTGGGGCATTGATTTCCCCCTTGATAACCTATCTGCCTTTGATTTACGGAATGGTGTGGATAATAAAAAGGGCCGACAGAGAAAGAGCTTTGTCAGATGATGGCCCCTCAGATGCGCATGGATATCTGCTCATTGAGCAAGGAGTTGGTGGTATTTTGGCATGATGATGAGTTGAGGGTCTGAACAACTGGTTGATTCCTCTTTTTGAAACATGGCTGCTCGGTTATGCTTCCATTCTATGGTTCCGATTGCGGTAGTGCAGTCTTTGATTTAGTTATGTGTAGAGTTCAATGAATACTATGTCCCTGTTGACGCCGATACGCCTTGCACAGCCTCGCGTCTGTGTCTCAAAATCCAACCCCAAGCGCTATAACCAAATCATATGTGTGTTTTTGTGAGAGAGTGTATTTGCATGCATCCCGGGACACGGATCACTCCAGCTTGTCCAGGTGCTCCAGCCTCGTCAGGACGACTTGTTTGCTCGTCTCCTCGATCTCGCCAGCGAGGAAGACCTCGTCCAGGATAGCATAGACCTTGTAGAAGTTGAAGACCAGGTCGAGCTCGCAGACATTGCCGAAGAAGGCGTCGAGGACCTCGACGAAGAAGTGGATGGCCTCGAGGTAGGCCAGCTCGTTGTCGTTGGTGTCGACGCAGGCGCAGAAGAAGAGGCCGGCGTAGCGGCGGTAGACGATCTTGTTGTTGCGGAACTCGACGAAGTTGGACTGGTACTTTTGGTCACGGGGGGCGACGAGGCGGTGGACCTCGCCCTTGAGCTTGATCTTCTGGTCGTCGCTGTACGGGGCGTACCACTTGGCCAGACGGGTCTTGCCCCTGGGGAAAGAGACGGGTTAGCTTCAAGGGCGCGCGCGGGGAGGGATTGTGGAGGATGGGATGTTCCGGGCATTGTATGGACAAAGTGTCTTGGGTGGCTACGGAGATGGGGACGTACTGGCGATTCTGGATCAGAATGAAGGAGAGCATTGCGGCGAGTTGGCGGTGGTGGTTGCGTGGTGAGATGATGCACCGGCGCTGAAGCTTATGGAGGCGGTCGTGATTCGGCGCTGGTGGATACGGGCCATTGCTCAAGTCTGGGGTGGGCCGGGCCACTGGCAGGGCTGGGAGATTGTCGACCATGGGCGGATGGGTTGGCGCTAATATTCCATGTGCATGCTCAATAAGTTTCGGGATTGACGTTTTCTGGAATTTCAATATAACACTTTTCTGTGTGCTTGGTTCTCCTGTACTCTCATGATTCGAAAGGCCTTCTCAGCGTGGTACTTTGGCAGTGACCTTGCAAGTGGGTGACATTGAATTTGAGACACTCAAACCTTGTACTGCTTACCTATTACCAAGTCTGAGACGAGTATTATCAGATTATTGAGGGTTAGTAAATGCTAGAGAGATAATACTCTAAATATTATTGAGGTGCATTGTTTTATACTACTTTATTATTCTTGTCATCGTAGAAAGGGCCTGCTAGAACAATCCTTCAATTTGGTGTCTCGTTTCTTCTGTCACCTATCTGCCTTGGCATGACTAGTCCAAGATTTCAACTCGAGCGTGGCCAGGAACACATGCGATCTCATCATGCAGGTTGTTAATTTTATTTTAAAGTAGTGCTCATTTATTTGACTAATCGGTTAGACTAAGATTTAGAGGTTTATCACTTGGAAATTTCATGTTTTGCGTATTTGTATTTCTGATTGTATTTCGAGCCATCCGCTGGGCTCGAGGTGCAGGGAGACCTACACGAGGTTCACCCACTTGACGAGGAGAGTTAATCGTGTTACAAAAAGAAAGAAAGAAAAATTGAATCCCAACTAAAAGAGAGGCACCTGGCTCTGCTCTTATGTTTCCCTCATTGTTCGCTGTCATCATAATATCTGTACACTCGCGCCCATTTTCACCACTTGATTCTGTCGCTGATTATTTCTTCCACTGGCCAGCGTCCTCAACGCCCTTGCTGACATCATCGGCTCCCTTCTCGACGCCGGTCCCCACTGAGCCCAGGGCATCACCGACGGGTTGGCCGGCAGATCCAGTGGCGCCGGTGACTGTATCACCAACTCCACGACCGGCGGCTCCAGTGACATTGCCGACTGTTCGGCCCAGGCCGCCCACAACGTTGCCCAAGGAGCTGGTAGCGGTCTTGGCGGTACCTGTTGCGCCGCCGCTGTCTTTAGAGTTGTCGCCAAGGAGAGACATGTTGGCGATAATAGAAGGGATGAAAGGTAGATTGTTAAGAATGTCTTGTTTTGATGAGAAATTGAACTCGAGCTTGATTTTGCTATTTGGATTATGTGATGTCGAGCATCTAAGGGCTACTCTGCGTCCTTCTTATAGCCATTTGAAGCTTTGAATATGCTGTTGTGACGTAACGATGATAAGTCTTCAAGGTGAATGTTTTACGTCAGGGACCCTGATTTTCGTCCATCTTCCCCGGGGTGACGTTGAGCAAGCTGGGTATGATGTAGGTAGGCATATGCAAGAAATCGGATCAATCTGCCAGCAAGGATTCATCATCTTAAGCTTGGGAAGATGATAGACCTGGTGGGTTCCTTTTCCGTACTAGTGCGCCCCGTTGCAAGCTTGAAGATACCAAAAGAAGGAAGGAACAGCTTTGGTGTTAGTAAGAAAGAGGTAGCAATAGTCTAGTCATTTTTGTCTCTCAATTAATTTTCCTGTTTTCTTGCTATCATTGAACCTTGTCCGCGCCCGATTTCGATCACTGATGTACAGTGCGGCGCTCGACAGGTCGCCTACCAAGGAGGAAGGGCACCGCTGATCTGAGCAAAGATCAGCCGAGGCGAGGCTGTCTTGGCCCCCTTCCGATCGGCAGTGCAGTTGTACATTGGACAGTCATGTGGAACTACTCCAAACACCTCGAGCCAGTCGCATGACCTTGAAGCCTTATCCGAACAACGGTAGGAATGGTGGGAATGCTCCAGGTGGGAGAAGACTGAGCAATTCTTCAATTGGAGGGCGGGACCTAGTTTGCGGGGAACATCGCGAGAATCAATCCCACGAGGTAAGTAAATATGCTGAAACTGGGCGTAGTTTTAAATGCCAATCAAGTGATTTCATCCTGCATCTCCTTCGGCTCCTCTTCTTGTGTTCGGCTTTCGTTGCGAAATTGATGCTCGGATATTCCTCCCTAGGCTAACTTGCTTCTGTAGAGCATCCTTGTCGCTTCTTGTGGCAGGCTATTCTGATCAAAAACCCTATCATAGATAGCTTGGCCATGGTGATCACTCAATACTTATGACTTCTTTACTGTACACCTTTTAAGCTGCCGTTCACAAATTGATAGCTATGGCGGTGGCGTCGCTAATACGGAAGTTCGTCAAGTTCGTCTGGGGGGACTGGCAGACGAATGAACTATGGCAGCGAATTCTCAAGACCTCCCTCGCGTGTGTCATAGCCTTATCTTTTGCTGTCATTCCTGAACTCGGGACTGTCTATGGCTTGAATACCTACCTTATCCCCATGGTCACAGTGTTTGCCCACCCTGGCCAGAGAATGGGCAAAGTTATCGAGACCTTGGTCATGGCCCTGTTGGGATCGCTGCTGGGACTGGGCTGGTCGCTTCTGGGCCTTTTCCTCTCGACTCTAGCTATCGGCCAAAATCCAAGCGCGGCTTCAGCAATCCGGGCAATATTCATGCTTGTCTCAGTGCTCACGCATGGCTATGTCCGCTCCCAAACCCCTCGTCTTTTCGCCTTGGTATGGTTCGAGCTCATTTCCTCTGCGACTATCCTTCTAGGGAGTACCACACAGGTCACTGTCCAGGCCTTTACCGGCGTATACTATCCAATCCTCACGGGTTCAGCTATCGTGCTTTTTGTAAACTTGTGCATTTTCCCTGAACATGCAACAAGTTATCTAGGAACTTCAACTATCAACACATTGTCTGAGTCGATGGACACTCTCGAACGAGCCTCCCACTGGTTCGTGACCCCAGGGGGTGACTCTGATGAGGCGAAAGAGGAGGCGGCGAAGAGTGCATGTCAGGACGCCAAGAAGAAGACGGCGCTGGGCGAATTCTTGGATGATTTCCCCAACCCCTTCAAATCTTCAAGCAGCAAGAAGACCCCCCCACCCGATATACAACTCACTACCATGGCCAGTCTGAGCGCTAAATCCTCCAAGCTCAGAGCTCAAGTGACCCAGTGTAAATCGGCACAGAACGAGGTCAATTTCGAGTTCGCCGTCTCTCCCCTGGCCCCAAAGAGTCTGAAGTTGATAAGTAAACGCGAAATATCCAGTCTTGTTCAAAACACCATCACCCTAATCGGTGCATGTGAAAATAAGTTTGTGCTCCTCAGTAATACCGAAAATGCGGTGACTGAGGAATGTTCCGATTCAGACACTGAATCAGACTTTAGTGAATCGCTGGACGAAGAGGCACTTGATCCTATCGCTACAAAAGAGCTACATGGCATCCTTGAGGATGATGACGAAGATCGCGATGAGCAAATCGGCAGCGTGAGGTTGGACGACGACGACTTTGAACAGATCATCGAGGACGTGAAGCCCTTGAGAGAGATCGAATCAGCAAGCTCGGAGCTTTTGGAGTCTATTTTGCGTCGGATTCGTGAACCGGTAGAGGATTTCGACAAGGGAATTAAGGGAGCGACAGATTTATTGATAGCATGTCTTGCATACTGCTACGATGTGTCCAAACTGCCATCAGGTGCCCCGACGCCGCAAGGAATCCGGTTGGAAGAGATTGATATCCGTATTGACAGCTTCACGGAGGCCTTGGGAGCATTCGATACGAGGTGTCCACAGGAGTTAAAATTGGCTGCCATTGACAGTTCAGGAAAGAACATTGATTTGATGCCCAGGATGGAAATGTTTCTTGTTTCATCATTTCTACTGGGCTATCGCCAGGCCGCGACTCACGTCCTTGAAATGCTCCGTCATACTCGGGCCCTCGTCGAAGAGAGACTAAAACGCAATAATAGGCCACGAGTCTGGATCCCCCACCATACTGACATTCGACAGTGGCTCTATACGTCTGGAGAATGGGATCCCATGGTGCTCCCGGAAGCTGGCCGGAAAGAACTGCGCGAGAGCAAGTCGTCAAAAGAGGAGCCAGGAGATGACTCCTCAGACATTACTGTGGAGGAAGGTTTCCTTCCACGCCAGAGAGCGGACGAAGAGAACACAGTAGGGAAATCTCAGGAAAAGGAGACCTCGTCAAAGCCTGAACTCAAGTCAAAGGACTCTACCAAAGATCATAAAACGTTGGTGGGAAAGGTCAGGGCCAACGCTGCTGATGCACTGGAATGGGCTCAACGGTCAGAGGATGTCAAGTATGCAATCAAACTTGCCCTTGCTGTCTTCATCGTGAGCTGGCCTTCGTTTGTCGCCTCCTGGAGAGGGTGGTACGCAGAAGTTCGGGGAATATGGGCCCCTCTGCAACTCGTCCTCGTTTTCGAAGTGTCCATAGGGACCTCGCTATTTGTCTTTTTCATACGACTGCTCGGCGTCATCTTCGGCTGCACCATCGGCTTGCTATCGTACGAAATGGGCCGAGGTAACCGAGTTGCCATGGTTATTATCCTCATCTTGGGAGTAGTCCCGTCCGTTTACATTCAGCTTGGAACCAAGTATGTAAAGGCTGGCATGGTTTCAACCACAACAATGTGCGTTGTGGCACTAGGTACGTTGTAATACTGCTTGTATTTCGTAATTATTTGCTTACACGCCTTTCGATTTATAGCAACAATAAACCAGACTGGAACGGCCACAGAAAACTTCTACAAGAGACTTGTGGCTTTCCTCGTTGGCTCAGTTGTCGCAATAACTGTGGAGATTTTCATCCTTCCAGTACGAGCAAGGCATCGTCTGGTGGAATCGCTTTCGTCCGCAGTCCGCCAGGTCCAGGCCATGCATGCTGCCGTCTGGGTCGGTATTGATTCGCCCCAGGTGCCCAACTTTCGGTCCCATCAACTAGATTATCGCTTCTCTCACGCGAGAGAGAAGGCGCAGACAGCACTGGCGGCGGCAGAGATGTTTCTTCCCTTTTGTCGCAATGAACCACGGCTCAAAGGAAGCTTTAAACCCCTTGAGCCGATTTACAAAGAAATCATATACGTCCTCCACCAGATCATAAACAGGATGGACAATGTTGTGGATCTTCGAAAGGCATACGGGTCATCAGTCCTCGAAGATCTGCACATGGAGGTCTATGCCTACCGAAGAAATGTGGCGGCCAGCAATACCTTGATACTCTTCTCAGTCCAGGAGGCCCTGACAGACTGGCTCCCGCTGCCACAATTCTTGCCATCCAGCCGTCTCGCCCAGGCTCGTCTGGTCAATCATGTACGCGAGACACTCGCATCAGCCGATCTATCTTCAGTACCAACCCCACACCATCAGGTTTCACCGTCTTTTAGCAATAGTGGTGGGGATGACATAGCTGTTGTAGATCAAGCAGACCTGGACGAGTATACGGCGAGCATTATAACGGAGCGCAAGTTTCTCTCGTGGAACGCCAACGCCGCCGGCCACATGGAGATCATTGAATATCTCGAGGAGCTCGTCGACCTCACCAAGCTGCTTGTCGGGGTGAATGCATTCCGGAGCGGCCTGCTGGAGAAGCCGAAATACAAAGACTACGTGCAACAGACGAGGGCTGCCGAGGCGGAACTGAGCAGGCTCGCATCGCGGAGAAGCCGGCGCACGTCGAAGGCGACAGCTGATGGACGCGGGGGTTCAACGACGCTGGCGAGGGCCGCGGCCGTGGCTGCCTCTGTGCAGAAGTTCAGGCGGCGGACGCAGGAGCTGAAAATGAGGAAGCAGGCGTCGGCAGCAAGTAACCCTCAGGAAGTTTCTGGAACACAGGCAGCGACTGGGGCGGGCAGACGAGAGGCTGTGGACACGGAGGATGATGCTATCCCCATGAGCTTGCGAAGAGTGAGGACGAGGATTGAGCGGGAGAGCGTAGTAGTTAGACGAAGAGGCTTCTCAACAGGAGCCATGTAAAGACACGGGCACTTTTATTATTCTGCTTCACGAATTAAGTTGGATGGGCCTAAATAAGGCAAATACGAATTCGCAATTGAAGTCTGCCCTACAGTAGATTGGCCTTCGTGACCAGGTAGGGGTTGCGAGCATACAATAATCCGTTCTTCTCCAACGCCTACTGTCCTAAAGTAGGACGATAACAAAGCCCTACCATTTAAACTCATTTAAAAGAATCGTCCTGAAACTCCATCCCCTTAAACTTTCATCGTAATTCTAATTCGTAAAGCGAGAGCCAATCCAAACGTGTCCAAATCCAAGGATAAGACAGTCGAGAACGACTCCTCCTGTTTCCAAATGCATCATGGCATCTAAATGATGTGCAGAGGAGCGTGCTGGGGGAGCCTCGTGTGGTTGAGCATGGCCCTTGATCTCTTGGGGCGCTGCTGGAAGCGACGGAAGGCCTCCTGGACGTGCCTCGGCTCGATGGGCCGCTTCCCCTCGCTGGGAGGGTCGAAGAGGCCCTGCTCGAGCTTCCGCTTCTTGGAGCCGGCGTTGTCGCCGCCGCTCTGGGCGCGGGCAATGTCCTCCTGCTCCTTGACCTTGAGGGCGATCTCGGTGAGAACCTGCACCATCTCAAAAGTCAGGAAGCCAAGGATGTCGACAATATCGTCCGAGGGCTTGCTGTCCGTCACGATGCCGAAGCCGGCCCATTCCCTGAATCGCTTGCCCTTGCGGTAGGTGAAAGAGGCCTGTCGATATTCAGACCAGGTCACGTACTCGTCCTTGGTCATGACTTTGGTGCGCTCGTCGGCGCGGCGGAGACGCTGGAGGGTGATGAAGTTCATCTCGTCCTCGTCCTCGTCTTCCTCGTCCTCGCGCTCGGGGACCTCGACGGGGTAGAAGGAGGACTGCTCCCATGGAAGGCCGACTTTGGCTTTCTTGTTCTTCTTGGCCGAGTCGTCTACGGGGCCGCCGACAACGCCGCCAACAGGGTCATCGCCACCGGCGATGTCAGCTTCGGCACCCTTATCATCGGAATCCTTGACGTTCTTGCGCACGTCCTTCCAGGACAGAAAGGTCCTGAGGCGCGAGACCTTGGCCTGGTCATGGCGGATCTGGAAGATGAGATCGTTGATACCGATAGACTTGGATCCGCGGCGGGAAGCCAGCTCTGTGCAGGTTCGGAGCTTTTGGTAGTACAGTTAGATATCGAAGCTTTGAGATTGCCCTCGCATTCTAAGATGAGAGGTAGGAAGAGAAAAGGGAGGGGAGGGGGGTGTACCATTTCAATAACCTGCTGTCGCACAATATCTTCCATAATGCTAGTAGTCTCGACAGGAGGTTCGGCGGTTTCTCCAGAGACATACATCATCTGTTTGAAGGATTCCATTAGTTCAAGCTGAAAGGAGCTTTTCTTTATGCCGTGAGCGAGTTCGAGGTGGGCGTGTATAAGGTCAGGGAAGAGGGATTCAGCCATTGTGGCAAGTCGTTGATATGACCTGCGGCTAATGAAATATGGTGATTTGAACGAGATCAAGAATTATGGATAAGAAAATCCAAGGAACTAGTGAGGGAAATGGTGAAGAAGATTAAAACAGAGAAGAGGAGATCGTGATGTTGTGAGAAAGGGTTCGTGAGATGTTGTGTCAACAGAAGCAGCGTGGGCCAACTGCCAACACACTGGCGTGCATCAGGCAAATGCCCGCGGGCCGTTCAGGTTCGCTGATGCCCATAGATACGTAGCACTCGCAACAGGAGCTCTCAGTCCACCAGCGGTGCTCTCTTCCATTTTCACCTGGCCATTCCTCCCCCGTTACCAGCGCAAGGCTTGGCTCAACAGCAGCCAGCCTCCATTGCGTCGGTTATGGGCCCCTGGTGTATGCTTGACTAGACACGTTATGTGATAGAGGAGTAGAAGATGTGACGGACGCATGGACTGCTTATAGTAAATAGTGACAACATACCTGGCTAATCTCCTGCCGGTACTTGTACTGCTTGTCGGCCATCTTGAGCAACGTGGAGCGCAGTCAGTCAGGCACAATGAAGCGAGCAAAGAAACGGATCCGAGCAGGAAGAATGATAACGAAAAGAGGGTGAGGGTAGAAAAGAACCAGATATGATGTACAACAAGAATACTTCACATTGCCGCTCCCCCCAAAAGGCAAGCGGGTCGTACAATGTTGATTGATGCACGGTGATGGGCAGTGAATCAATTGAACATGGGCCATGAGATGAGACTTGAGTCGCGGTTGAGTTCGACACTGGGTGTGATTATGTAAGCAGCCATGCCTTTCCCCTGCAAACCAAGAGTCTCGTTCTTTGTTTGATAATTATTCTCAGGATATTAACTCTGTTCAGAAATTGTTTAAATTGTTTTGTTTCATATCGTCATAGTGTATGATATCGTCCTAATGTATCAGCCACCCGGACCCATATTGCACACCTCTGGGTATCCCAACCGGATAAGAATGTTCATATGCTCAGCAACGGCCAGCCTTGCTCAATGAGATACAGCCGGGTCACTCTTCGGCCAACCCACTGAACCCATCCCCTCTATATCCCCAAACAATAATGTAATGCGCCGCCAGAAGTTGCCACTCTTCCACCTCATCCAGCCCTTCTAGACTGTCCACTCGTTCCTTCTCCTCCTGCGTAACCCACGAGTTCCAGATGTCTTCCACTGTCATGTGCCTAACCACCTCGAAGCCAGCCTTGGACAGCCTGTCCACCTGGTCTTTGGCCTCTCTGTAGACATCCAAGGTTGGCATCCTGATATGGCGTGCTGCGAGATTGGACACCATGACCTGACCAAAGGGATCATTTGGTCGGATAGGTTCATAGATAACGGTGGCAAGACTGGGAATCTGTGTTGTAAAGAAACTAATCACGCCGTTGGCTTCTTGAGGAGAGAGGTAGCAGAGACAACACTCAGAAAGCAGGAGCGTGGGTATATCAGTACGCAGCCCCGGCAACGTCAAAGACTCTTCGTTTCCAGGTAATTTCCTGAGGTCAAGCCCATGGCAGTAGAACTGGCCTCCATTCGAGGGTTCGCTAGTCCATGAGTTGCTGGCTTCCTCTGGGTCGGCCGGGGGGACGACGGATGCATCAGAAAGAACGCGCGAGAGAAGGGGAGCGCCCTTGACAATACGGAGCTTCTTACTGCAGACGACCTCGAAATCAATTTCGTGATAGATCAGGCCGTGGCAATTTTGCTGAGAGAATATGCGAAATGGGCGGGTATCAGTGCCGGCTCCTAAAGCGACTATCTGCTTGGGAGACTCAGCATCCAGCGTGGAGAGGAAAGCATCTATAAGCCGGTCTAATCCCGACGTGCGTGTATAGGTGCCTGTAAATTTACGACGCATCGAAGAAAACAATCAGTTGGGCAACATTCTCTCATCACCAGTCGTCGCAGAAGGGAATAGATGGCTGGCACTGTGCGACAAGGGCATCGCACCTCTATTAATAATGGGGAGTCGCCTAGCAGGCGGCCCGCTGGGACTCTGTACGAAGAACTGCGCGCATGGATCGTGAAGATAGCCCAAGTCGACGGCACTCAGTCTCGACACTGCAGCATCGGTATCTGTGCCTTGAATGACGGCATCGTGGCCCTGGCCAGTGCGACGAGAGGGACCAGCGCCAGGCCCGCCACGGCTCCGGCCTCCGCGAGCGCCTCCTCTGCTGCCCCGCAGGGATAAGAGGTTTGGGATGGCCGGGGCAGACTTGTCTGGCGGGTTCATCCTTTGTTGCTGCGGTTGGTTGCTGGGGGCGGGAGAAGAGGAAGCAAACGGGTCGTGAACTTGGAAGTGTTTGGAGCAGTACCTGGCGGTTAGTGTGTAGTTGCTAAGTAGCGCTGTAGCTGCCCACTCAGTGTTTTGTATGGATGCACAGCTTGATAAGTACCTCAGGTAGACTCAGGCCCTGCAGCATCACCACATACCTAGCGCTTTAAATTAATCACTGACAATCCAACATATCGTTATTACTACATTGAGCATACAGGTTGCGAGGAATGAACAAGGCGCCAAGCGATCGCATCTCACCAAACGTGAATGGGCCTGCCAGGATAGCGATTTACGACCAAAACATCGCGAACAGAGGATGAAACGCGTTTCGCCTAAAGTGCCCAAGCCAAACTGGTCGCGGCCACCACGAGCCAACAGCCATCGATTAATCGATTCGTCTTGAAGCATCAATCCACACCAACTCGGCTTGCGTGTATCCATGCAATAGTCGCCCACTGGCCTGTGGGCACTCTGCACCATCACCTGTTTCGTCGTCATCGGACTAGTCACATCGTGGGGTGCTGGAGATGGCTCCGAGGCCGAAGCAACGTAGGCAGATTCAAGCCCGGTAAATCGGTGCTATAATGTGATTGATCGGTAGGTATGGAGGCTTTCACATCAATAAGTACCTACACAAATGTGTTCAGCAGGCAGCCTACACATCGTGTCTATATATATCCGTCTAATTACTAAGGCGGGCATGCGTTTATACGCCGTTGGGAATAAATTCTGCCAAGCGCCTGGCTGGAACTCTGCTGCCCTGTGGCACTTGGCACTTGACCCCCCTGTGCGATCCCTGTCCAGGGTCGCTGCATCGGGTTTGATTGTGATGCGGTCGCCTTGCAGTGCACTGCCACTGTCTCTCGGGCTATTCCTGCCTGCGCGGCGGGGTGGGGGGCCTTGCTACGTAAGTCCTGCGGCACCCAAGTCCCCTTTAACTTGGTCGTGTCAGCCGCCCATCCGTCCATTAACTGACACTCATCCAACCAAGTGCGGCTGCCTTCCTGCGCCGTCCGTCCCTTCCCTCGTCCTGCCACTCTTACCTCATCATCCCTCCCTGTTCGTATATCTGTTCGCTCTCTCGTTCGTTCGAGCTGATCGCCTTCTCTCACCTCCCCCTCATCTGGTGTGAACAGGAACTGCGTTTCTCCTCCACTTTGGTTTCCCAACACCAGTGCCATTCATTAAGATACCAACTAGTCTCTCCATTACCCACTATTTGATTGTGTGACTTACATTCACGATGCTGCAAAATATCGGCTCTGCCATCTACAAGCGCTCCCTCGAGGCTGCGGGGGACCAGACTGTCGTTGTCCAGCTTCCCTGGTGGACTCCCATCGTCTTCTTCATTAACGTTCTGCTGCTCGTGCCCATCACTTTCTGTGTAAGTCTTTCCCCGCGTCCGTCCCTTGACTATACTTCCTTCGTGTTGGATTCAATCTGACCTCGGCGTCTGAAGCTTGACTATACTCTGCAAACCCTCTATCCTACCTTTGTCATTGTCGAGGATGAGAACGCTCCCGACTTCGAGCCTCTGGTCCCCAAGTCTCCCAAGAATGGCAAGTCGGGCGATGAGGAAGAGGATGTTCCTGTGACTCCGGTACCCGTCTCCAACTCCATCAGGTCCATCTACCGACTTCTCCGAGCCAACGGTGGCTTCTTCGCCAACTTCCGTGGACTCTCCGTCTATCTCGTTGAACGCTTCATCACTGTGATCGTCTTGCATTCCGCCATCAGATGCTTGGGTCTCTACCTTGGCCTTATCCTCGGCCCTGTCCTTCATCTTCTCTGCAACCTCCTTCTCGCCCAGCTCGGCACTGCCTGGGTACATATTGTCATTACTCCTGCATCGCCGCTTCGCTGGTGGAGGCGCCTGCCTGCGTTCACCACCACCGTCAAGGCCGTTTGGGGACCCATGTTTCTCTTCAGTATTGCCTCCTTCCTCGCCGAATGGGCGCCTTTCGTTATCGCCAAGGCTGTCAACTTCCCTCTTGGTTTCAACGCTGCCATGGCCGCCCAGAACGGAGAAAAGCCCACCCTCGGATTCGCTTCCCTGCTCCTCGTCAAGTACTTTGCTGTTCTCGCCGGTTCCATCCTTGCCATTATCCTCCTCATCGTTCCCACCAGGATGATTCTCGTTCGTGTCCAGGCCTCGCTGCTCCCTGTTGATGAGGATGCCATCGTCCCCTTTGACCGCTCCTTTGGCGGCCGCGTCCAGACTGCCCTTGTTGGCGGCCGCGGATTTGCCACCATCACTGACGTCTGGTCCACTTTCAGCCGTGCTGTCATGGGCCGCTTGGTCAAGCTCTATGTCAAAGTGATTGGCATTAATGTCTTGGTCGGCTTCGTCCTCGGTGCTTTTGTCGTCTTCCCTTCAGTCCTTGCCGTCATCACCTACTCAACCGTGGTGAAGGCCTAAGGGATCTGTCACGAACATACGGAATCAAATATATGAAAAGAGAAAAAAGAGGAGGGACGTATTCCAGGGCGAAAACCATATCCCTAGAACCAGGCAGGCTTGGACGGGCGAAGGGATGCTGTAGAGTACGATCGTTTAGCAATGGAATATCTAGCAGAAACCACGCATTTGTTTGTTTAGGTTTGGTCATTTTTATTTAATCGGTTAGGTACAGTCTCAATAAACTAAAGCTTGCTTTATCTCGCACAAATTTTGCCGTCACTTACACCCCTCGTATACCATTCTGAGCGGATGCTGTCGATTTGTTCAAATCCTATAAGTTGTTCATCTGTAATCATGATGATAAAGGAGACAAAAAAGAAACTCCCCACCCTTCTACGACTCCCCTCACACGTAAAAAATCATTTTCCTGGCCGCTGCAAGGCCATCGCTCTCCATGCAACCCTCATTCAATATATCGGATCGGTCCCTCCCCTGTTCCATTTCCATCCCAAGAGCACGTAAATCCAATCCGCAACAGGCTGGCTCCCAAAGTATGCATTTCCACTTTCGCCAGCGCCATACTAGGGATACGACGGCGCGTGAACACATGCCGTGTCATCTCAGAATGAAGCAAAAAATAATAATAAAAGGTCAAGTAGAAGGAAGAGAGGAGAAAAATAAAAGGGGGGACAAAAAAAGATTCGTTCATTGCTGCGTGGAGTGGAGGGTTAAGGGGGGGTATTTGATCTTTTTCTATCGTTATCTACTCAAAAGACGCCGAGGCAGGAATATATATAGCCCCGGGGCGGGGTATTGGAAA